AACAAAGATATCAGAGAGCGACGTTCAACATACCATGCCGAGACGAACAACACGGAGTCTGTATCAAACCGCACTGCGGAGGCTTAATCGGCGACCCCTACATGGCGCAGAACTTCGTCGCCAGCTTTGCGCCTAGTGTACAACAATGGGTACGAGATTGCAAGGCTCAACTCCCACATGATCCTCTTCTGTATGGGAACAGCGAGCTTTTCCAGTATCCAGTATACCTCGGCCTCACGAAGTACGCAGATGACTTACGCAAGCTCAGCATTACTCAGCGGGCAGACGCGCGCGACATCGTGAATCAGGCCCACCAGGTGGACAACATGCTGAACACCAGGCCCACAGAGATCGGGACGCGGCAGAACCAGGACAAGCAGGAGACCATCATCAACTTCCAGGGCCACGGCTCGAAGAAGGCGCACCGTGACATCAAGAACAACACAGGCGCCAAGATGCCAGGTAAAGTACTTCCACACGCCCGTTATCTCGGACCGCAAGTCAGCCCTCACCAGAACTACGGAGCGGAACTCGTCAAGCGCATCGCAGCCATGAAGAAGAGCTATTACGAGTGCGGAGCGTCCTGGAGCAAGGCCAACATCCCATACCGTTGGAAGCGAGCAGTACTACTTTGCCGAGTGATCAACACAGGCCTCTCGTGCATCGAGTGCTTCCTCCCGACCGCGACAGAGTACAGACAACTCCAGAGTGCGATGGGAGCACTACTACGCAAGGCCATGCGAGGCAGAGCCACGACGTACCGCGAGGACGGCACCGTGCGGAGCATGAGCACCTTGGAGGTCTTCCGCCATTGGCAAATATTGCCGCCGGCAGAAGAGGCACTGATACGACGAGCCAGCTGGCTAAAAACTATTCTGCGCTTCCCTGCTAACAACAAACAGCTGATCGTTGCGCTCTTCGGCCGAGTCGACTTCGAGACGAACACCGAAACGACCACCGACGCGATCCAGAGCGACACGAATCCATGGGCTCAGAGGTTTCTGGAGGACATTAAGTACGCCTGCGAGATCTCAGAGAATTTCCAGGACATCATAGGGCGGAGCGAGGACATAACGATAGGCAAGCTCTTCACGCTAGATATCCGAGAACAACTTTGGAGCCTGGACCCCAAGGAAATACGAGCAGCCAAACTAGCAGTAGCGGCACCCCCAGTACAGCAAGATCACGACGACGAACAACGAGAGAACATAGCCTTAGACGAGAAAAAGATTTGGAAATGCGAACTTCTTGACGAACGAGACGTATGTGTAATGTTATTTGCAAGCAAGAAAGCGTTACACAGCCATATCATACGAGCACGCCATGTTCATAACTCAGCGGCAATTCTTACCAGCAACAACGAGTGCATCAATTGTGGGCAGGTATTCACCAGCAAAGGAACGGCCTGGAAACACCGAGCACGAAGTATGATTCGAGGGGGCTGCAGCCGAGACACGACGAAGAACCAATACGAAGCGGCCCCACACGAACCTCAATGTCCGATCTGTAGTTATTTTGCCTTAGATAAGCATAGCTGCTACCGCCACCTTTGCACACACCTTCCTCGACAACTACTTCAGCCAGCAAAGGATGTCTCTTTTCGACCGGAGGACGAATGGCGGACAGCCGCTACGCGCACAGGGAGCTCGCCCAGACCGCAGCCGTGGACGCGGAGGGGCGGGACAACAGCGCGGCCCAGCGGGACCAGCAGCGGGCCAGCAGCAGCAGATGGTCGACCTGACGGCGAGGCTCGCGCTCACCCTGGCACGGGAACAAGCAGAACTGGCCTCCGCAGTACTTCAGACGTGGGAGATCGGAACGGAAGCCAATATCGCTACATCGGGACTCGAAGCAGGGCGCGCCTACAACGAGGAGGCTCAGGACCTGAACCAGCGCGCCAAGGCCGGCGAGGCAGTCGACACGGCGCAGCTTGGAAGCCCGCACCTGAAGGTCTGGACGGAGGTCTGCGCCTACCTGGGCAAGACGCTCGAGGAAGGGGCTTCCAAGCAGCACGTCGAGCAGTACTACCGCGACAAAGTACTCGACGCCGCTCCAGAAGTGCTCGGAGATTCAGTACCAGTATTTCGCGTTCGGCGCAACAAAGGCAAGGATGGCAACGGGAAAGACAAGTGCAGGTTCCAGTTCACTTTCAACGCGAACGATCACCAGATTGCGACAGTGCTAGTCAACCAGCTCAAGAAGGAGGGAGCCACGCGCCGCGTGGGCTCGGCGCCGCGCGGGGCGCTGGAGCGGGAACTCGGGCGCCTGGTCAACGGCTGACCGCCGAACGACACGCAGAGGGCGCCAGAGAAGAGCATGCCGTAGGCTTACGCCAAATCCAGAGTGAGGGAACGCCCCGCGCCGTGCCCAGAGCTTTCGAAAATAGTGTACGATTCCGAGAGCTGGCGGCCAGAGGCAGACTCCCAACCCCTCCTCCTCAGAACGCTCCTGAAGTTTTTAGGTTCAGAGGCCATGGTTTTCCTGACTACTTTTTGATGCACCGCCCTCCCCCCCCTCCCGAACCCAAAAGGAAAGGTCGGGGTAAAGGGGGGCGAGCCCAGGGTAAAAACCAGGGGCAACAGGCGAGGTAGGTTTCCGCGAGGGGCGGGTGCTACCCCGCCCTCCAGCCTCTGCGTGGGGCTTTCGGTGCGGGTTGGGCCCGAGCACGACATCGTGCCAGCTCACCCAGCAAGCGCAGAGAGTACAGCTAGGACGATTTAAAAAACAGTTTTTTTAAGCTACCGATTCTGAGGAGGTTGCGAACTTCGTCCCCACGGCTCGATCGATCGTCCTCCTCCTCCTCCTCCTCCTCCTCCTCCCCCGCCCTCCTCCTCCGCCGGAGTCGCCGCCATGGGGGCCCAGCGCCGATCCAAGAAATCCGCGTGGGGCTCAGAAAGTTTGTGTCTACTGTACATGACTGATCTTACCAGGAGGAAAACACAGACAGAGAGTCGCCGATTCCCAGGAACATATGGGAAGTGGAGGGGAAGGCGAACATAAATATGGAAAATATGGGGAATCCTGGGATTTGTGTATATTCATTCGTGTGTCCATGGGCCCTTAATCCTGCTCCTCCCCTGAGATCTGGCGTTGCGAAACGACAAGTTGCAACATTGCGACAAATCACGACGGGAGCCCTAGACCCAATCTTTCTGCAGCATTTTCCGAGCTGGATCGATCTGTGATGGTCCCGGGCCCCGAAGCCGGGCGAACGTAAACGGCAGGTGAGCAACGCAACAAAAACGGGGTCGTTTTCGCCGATATTGGCGCGTAAGGTGCCCGCGTAAGGTCGCGCGTGCAGTGGAGGCCCATGCCAAGAAACACCCGGTGCCCTGGGCTTCTTGGGTTTCGATGGTTTTGCCATGGAGAGCGCGACGCTCCCACGCCAAAAATCCATGGACGTCTTTCTCAGGGTTGGGTTTTTTGTGGAAGGCTTCTTGTGCACTGGCCTCCTCTGTAAACGGCAGGTGAGCGACGCAACAAACACGGGGCCGTCTTCGCCGACAATGACGCGTAAGCTGCCCGCGTACGTAAGCGCCCTTGCCTCCAATGCAGCGTGCCGCGCTGGCGGCCCGCGTACGCTGCGGCGCAAGGTCGCCGTGTCCTCGCGCGACCCGTTCTTGATATCGGCGCCCACGGGGGCGAACAGAAGCACGAGGCCCAGGTCTCAGAGTCCGTCCTTCCTCCCGCCCCCCCAGAGATCCAGCGCATTGAAAAAATCAAGCCGGAGGGCTTGCGCAAGTTTCGGCCCCTGGAGGCCCTCGCCGGGCCTCGGGACCGTCAAAAAAGGACTCGGGACGAAAAGCTGGTCCTGGGAAGAAGGTTGAGACTTCTGGGGACCGCGCGCTGAAAAAGTCACGACGTCGGATCTCTGGGCCTCCCGCGCCGCCGCGCCTCCGCCCCGTTGCCGTCGCTCGGGTGTTGGCCCAAGGGAGCTGCGAAAGCAGACGTCGGCGGCGGGCGAGGGGGGGAAGTGAGCAGGAGAAGGCCCTCTCAGAGGGAGGCGTGCTGCCCACCCTGTCCGCGCCGCTCGCGGGCGGTGCCGGGCGGTGCCGGCCCGGCCCCCCCCCCCCCCCGGCAAGCCCCGTGCCCTCGCGCGGCGTCCCCCCCGCCTCGCCCCCGGGCGTATGCACGCGGCCGCCAGGGGAGCTTTTGGGTTAAGTCGGGCCCCTACAGGGGGATCTTCGACGAAAAATTAAGGATACCCCAAAAATAGTCAAAAAATAGGCCAACAATAGTCTGGGGACTATTTTTCTAGTATTTTTGTTTACCTTTTTGGACTACTTTTGGAGTATTTTTGATTTTTCGTCGAAAGTCCCCCTGTAGAGAGACACGCCCGACACAACTTTTGGGTCGGGGGTGAACAGACCTCCTACCCTGCTCCCGGACCCGGTGTTGATGGGTCCAGAGGCCCGACCTGGAGTCGGAGGCGGACAGACCTCCTACCCTGGCCCGTCGATGAAGGAATTGGCCGTTCTCGGTTCGCGAGAGGGCGTCGCGGCCGTCGTTTTTGCGGGTCCGGGTCCGTCGGTTTCCGTCCCAGGCCGTTTTCACTAAGGGGAGGTCTACGAAAGGGAAATTTGTCCACCGCCGATTGGGAGGCTCGGCACGAACGAACTGGGTACGGAAAGAATGGGTACAATGCCCAACAGCAGTTCCTGTTAATTTTGAACGGGGCTCGCTGTCGGTGTCGCCTCGGCCTGTGTACATTTGAGACAGAGGGCCGCCTGCCCAACAGCGGCCGCTGCTGGTTTGGGACGACATCTGTTGTTGTGCACTGTGCCCATTTTTTTCCGTATCCATTTCGGGCGTCCAAAGAGGGAGGGAGGGAGGGAGGGAGGGAGGGAGGGAGGGAGGGAAGAGGAGGAGGAGGAGGAGGAGGAGGAGGAGAAAGAAGAGGAGGCGGAGGAGGATGGGGAGGAGAAAGAGGAGGAGGAGGAGGAGGAGGAGGAAGGAAGCGGTGTTGGTCACGGCAGGGGCCGCTTGGGCCGCGCCCGAAGGACGCCCTGGAGTCGGGCGACGACCTCCCGCTCGGGGCGCGGGCCGCGGGGCCGGACGCGGAGGGCGGCGCGGCGGTGTGTTGCCTGGTGCGGGCCGAGTGGTGCCCCTCGCGGGGCGGGGCGGGCGAGAAGGGGGTTTCGAGGCTTCCGAGTCCTCTGCCTTCTCCTCCCCCCTCCTGCCTCCCCTCCTCCCTCCTCCCTCCCTCCCTCCCCGGACCACTACCCCTTGGTGCTCAGGTTTAGAGTAGGGCCTTGTTTCGAGATGTGCAAGCAAGCTCCGACGTACTGGAACCACGACGCGATCTCGCGCGCCGTGAGGTTTGGCCAGGGGTCGGAAGAGTTTCTGAACCAGGTCGAGCGAGAGCTCGAAGCAGTAGCGCAGAGAGTGCAAGAGCTAAGTGTGCGGAGTGCGGACGCAATGTATGACAAAATGCACGAAGTAGTGGATTCAGTGGCTCGCGTGTATTTTAAAAAAGAATCTAAGCAGAACTCGAGGCCCTCTGACACTACGCAAGCCCTGCAAGATAGAATCAGGGACCGTAAGTTGCTCAGGGACCTGAAGAGTGTCCCTATCGATCCCCTTCCTCCCCTCCCTTTCCCCAGTGTGCGGTGCACCACGCCTTGTGTGTTCAGCGGTCGTGGGGTGCATGAGTTTCTGGCGCCACAGTTCCTAGGACGTATGTGCTACGCATCGCGTGCATGTTTAGAGATGTACGAACCCAGTGCGTGTCTGGCAGCGGTTATAGCCAGGTGTAGAGAACGGGACAAAAAGGTTCGACTCCAGCTGCGCCGGGATAGATCTAGGCGCATGGGGCTGTATGTGAGAGAATTAGAACTTGCGAAGAGCGAAGGAGACATGGCGCTCTGCTGGAAATTGTCTAGACTTTTAGCGAAGAACAACTTAGGGCCAAAGCAACGCAACTTCTGTGCCCCCAAGACTCGATTGGAAATGAGCACGTGGCGCACTTTTTTAGAGCAGCAGGGTAGCAAGGGCGGGTTCGAGGCGAGGCCCCCTGTGCAGGAGGAGGAGCAGGCGCGAAGGGCGGCCAGGCCCGCGTGCACCTCGCTCACGCCCGACACACTAGCCAGAGCGAATGATGACTTTGAAAGCCTGAGAAGGCAGCTGATGTCGGCCCGTCTGAGACGGACGCCGCCAGCCTGGAGTTTTCCTGCTGGAGTGTGGAGGCTGATGATGAATCCCAACGAATATAAATATTCGCGCGGCGAGGCCTTGCAGAAATATGAGAATGTTGAGGACTGGTATTACCCATGTATCACCAAGTGCATTGTGTGGATCTGCGCGGCCATCAGGTTGCATGCAGAGACGCCGCTGCAGTGGCATCGTAGCCACGCTTTCTCGCTGGATAAGCTCAATGGAAAAAGCGAATGCAAGGGCCAGAGGCTTGTGCATTCGCTTGACGCACTCGGCAAAGCCTACTATTCTCAGCTCTGGCGTGCACACCCAGCGTTGACAGCGCAGGCCGATCGGCCATACGCGTTCGGTTACCTTCGGGGGAGGCGGCGGGAGGAGGCGATTCTTGTGCAGAACGCTTGTGCTGCTAGGCTGCATGGCTCTAAGATAGGCAGAGTAACTACATTGTATGACGCTACGAATGCTTTTCACAGTATCCATCATGAGAGGCTGAAAGCATACGTGCGCGCGCACTGTGATGAGTTCGGGGCTAAGCTGCTGGAGCAGAGGCTGGACTACGCACAGGTGATGATTGAGTGCGTGGATGGGGACCTACAGGTGAGCATTGGGCAAGGCACACTCCCTGGAGACACGGTCGCATGCATATGGTTCCTGGGGTCCTACAACACCGCGATCGATAGGTTTCGTGATTCGGACGCAAGTGGGATCTATGTGCAGATCAAGTGGCTTCGGCACTGCCTGGCAGCAGATGACGAGGCCAGGCAACGTCTCGGGGCCATGTCGAGAGAGTTTTTCGACATTTCGGTCTCCAGCTTCTCAGACGACATCGCTCGTACGTCGGCAGTGGAAGACGCAGCTCACTGCAGGCTGCGCACGAATGCTCAGTTCGTGCACCTCGATGCGGAGCTATGGGAGGAGGGGGTAGCGCTTAACGGGGACAAGCAGGTGTCACTGGTGCAGCTGGAGGGGAGAGGCATACAGTACGGGATGAGGAGGCTGTACAGGGACAAAGACGTGATGAAGGGGGAGGTGCAGAGAGTGGCGAGGTATCTGGGTGGCCAGCTACATTTCCAGGGAAGATCGAAACCAGAAGTCGAGTATCGTATTAGGAGAGCAAAACAAACGTTCGCTGTCCTAGGGAGTTTTTGGAGTGAAGTGACGAATGAAAGGTGGAGGGGCGTCATTTTCAAGAGCATGATCGACGCCTCGCTCTTATCGGAGGTGATCGCGTACCCTCTTCCTGAGGCGGAGCTTCAGAAGATTGAGGGCGTGCAGGCGAAACTAGCTAGGAAAGCTCTCCAGGGCAAGGGGTGTCTCAAGGTTGAAGCGACGGAGCTGAGGGCCAAGCACCACGCGGCCTTGCCCAACTCTAAGGTTCGGGAACTCTTGAGAATACGCACGCCCTTCAGCTTGCTGCGTGCACAGAGGATCAGCTGGTGGCAAGAAATCATTCGACACCCTGAGAGACATGTCTTATTCATCGCCACTCTGTTTGGCTACGCTGCTTGGGACCAGCACAACCTGTGTGACGAGATGGGCTTCTCAGCGTGGGCCCCTGGAGGGAGCTCAGTGCAGCCGTGGTGGAACCAGCTGCTACTCGATCTTTCTGCCTGTGTCGAGTTCCTGCAGATGCCAGACATTTTGCCAGCGCTTGTGGAACGCCCAGTTGCGCTTTTTTGTGATGCTGAAGTGCGGGAGGCAGTACTAAAGGTGTCGGTGGAGAAGCTGAAGAGGGTGACGGGGGGACCTAGAATCTACGCGGATATTTCGGAGAGGCTGATGGAGGAGGTGACGGGAGGAAGGTACGGAAGAGGAAGTGGAGGAGAACTACCTGTGGAGGAAGAGGTGGGAGGAGCTGAGCAGGAGGTACCACGGGAGGGAGACGAAGAGCCAGATCCTGCGGCACTTCAGCCAGAATTGCCCGAGCCGCCCACTCCCGCGCCACACGTGTGCGACATCGAGGGCTGTGGCCTGGGCTTCGACACGCGTCGCCAGCTGCTGTTGCACCAGTCTAACTCAAAAGCAGAAGGACACGGAAAAAAGCAGCTGGCAAAAATACTTACTATATCTAACAAATGCATCCTGTGCAACAACTTTTACACAACAAAACGGTATGCGTCGGAACACTTGGATCAAGCTATTAAGAAAGGAAAATGCCCGAGGTCGAGGGGGTCAGTCACGGTGCACCAACATGTTGCCGACCCCCCTTACTGGTGTGAACTGTGTAGTGAGGAGTTCGCCGCGTATGAAGTGGCGAGAGCGCATATGTTAACACATCTACCCTGTTGACGTGCCTCAGAGGCACGGTGTGCGTGTGAATTCGTCGATGTCTGGCTCGAGTGCTTAGGTTGTGGTCTTGTGCTCACCAGGCTGCGAGTGCCCATTGTCCAAAGTGCAGTGCTGTTCGGCCGATGTGGAAAGAACAGTTCGCGCATGCAGGACCTGGTGACGCTGCAGCTGAGCCACAGGGACGCTCTGTGAAGTACCGCCAGGTCGAGTGCACGGAGGGCAAGCAAAAGATCGACCTAGCGTTGAAGTTGGGGGTGATCGCCAATCAGAAGGCCAGGCTGCTGGCTGCAGCGTGCACGGTAGAGATCGAGTTGTCGGTGGAGGGTCCCATCATGAGGGCCATTGCTAAGGCCCACGCAGAGGAGTACTTGCCGAGGGTCAAGGGGAAGGCTGGACATGGGTTGGGGGCGCCAGACTCATTCTTGCTGACTGCGGCGATCATCACCATGCTTGAGTCGTGCGAGGAGAAGTACAAGACTCCGCTGAAGGAGTACTTGGACAAGTTCAAGCCAGGGTCGAAGGAGGCGCAGCACATTGTGGGCCTCTTCCGCACTGAGAAGATGTACGACAGCAAGAAGAAGCGCCTCATCATCGGAATGAAGGATGAAAAGTTCGAGCGGATCCTCGTGGGCGCCATCGAGTCCGTGGAGAAGCGCGAGTCGTTCTCGGGGCCGAGGCCGCCTGGGCATCTTGAGCTGGAAGGCCAGAAGGTTCTCGAGGTGAATCGCAGCTGAGGATCGACAGCGTCCGCAGGCGGTCCAAGGACCTTGAGTGGATCATAGGTGCGACGTCCGTCAGGGAGGATTGCCAAGTGTGGTTCAGTGACCGCGAGTGGATCATAGGTGTGACGGCCGTCGGCGATGATTGCCACGTGTGGTTCAGTGACCTTGAGTGGATCATAGGTGCGCCGCCCTCCGTGCACGATTGCCGCGAGTGGATCGGTTTCGTTGGGGAGGGCACCTCCATCGTACGCCTCGAGACGTGAGCCTGCTGATGAAGGCGCCGTGTGCTGCTGCCGCTGTCCCTCTTCTCTCCGCCCCGCCTAACTTTTTTTGGAGCAGCGAACTTTTTCCCTTGGGCCTCGAATTCGGGTTCTGTGTGTGTGCGTTCTGAATTAGTATCCAGTCAGGGCTAAGTGCCTATGCGAATAGTCGGTCCCCTCCTGCTTCCTCGTCGTGTCGGTTCGTCTTTCCCGCTCTCTCGCCCTTCCCGCTCCTTTGGCCCTCGGGCTCTCCTCCCCCCTCGGGGGCGCTCCCTCGGTGCCTGCGCTCCCCGCCCTTGGGGGGGTGCGGTGGTGCCCTGGTAGTGCGCCCGCTCGCCCGCCCCTCTTCCGCGTCGTTGCTGCTTGCTGCTGGACCGTGGGTTTAAATCGATGTTAGTTTAAGTTTTTGGTCTCGCCTCCCTGGTGCAGGAAGGAGCCGCTTCGGCACGGGCTGTGCACTGGCTACCCCCGTGCATGCACGGGGCTGCCGCTAGTGCCCCTCGTGGGTGAGGTGCCGAGCTGCAGATATGAGGGGGGCACTCGCTCCCACACTCCCTAGTTCGACCTGCCTCGGACTCTTGAGGAGCGCCACCACCACCACCACCTCCTCCTCCTCCTCCTCCTCCTCCTCCTCCTCCTCCTCCTCCTCCCTCCTTCCTCTCCTCCTCCTCCTCCTC